TCTTGGGTTGGGAGATAGAGCAAGACTAAGTACTACCCACTGTACTAAGCAAGTCATACCGGAACGAAGGGTATGATGCAGGATACAACCAAAGAGAGCTAAAGGAGTTTATTTGCATAAAGCTAGCATTTATGAACAGTAGTTGAAAGCGGTAAAATAGTTAAATAATTATCCATCATTTAACCCAATCACTGCTTAACGCTACACCATGTTAAGACAGGCCCAAAACCACCACCTGAACTAATCAGTTCCATTAAGCTAAGCTAGGGGTGAGACTAATCACAGTGAATCTGGTTGACCGCCCATAACCGCGGGCACGGCTATTCGAATAGTTTTACTTTGATCAGAGGTGTACAACTGTACCCACAAGACACAGCCCCACGACACGTTCCCGTGCGCCGGCATGCCACTACAATATACTGGAAAGAGGCCGTGATAGGACCCTTCGCATAGCCCCCTCTAACCAAGCACACCACACCTCAGGTTTCACCCCCACTCCTCAAAAGGTAGCGGGCAGTCCCCTCTCGTGCCTAGGTGAATCCGGAAGCGACAAAGGCCGTTGCAGGGCCCATCCTGCTCCATCACACCCACCCTTGCCTAGATGCGTCGGCTAGAGAAAAGCTACATTACAAGCCCAGCTATTGCCCACGCTGGCTTATGGTAAGTACGATAAGTTCTTCCAGGGCATCCCACGAACCGGTCCTTAATTGCCATGGGCACGACCATCAAAACCATACACCCACAGCCCACCAATTAATGTGTTCTAATTAACTAACACTATTGCGGTGGCACTAATCCAAAGTTATACTATAATCCAAAGTTTATGCGTTAATGTGATTTCCCCTTCGTGTACTAGTTGAACTAAGCATGGCTAAGCAATTCCTAATCCGACATCTAGTTATGTTACAACCCAAGCTAACAATGGATTAAGATGAACAAATAGTATATCTGAGGCAGTAGGTAAACATCCCATAATAACATTATAAAAACAATGCATAATTTAAAGGAAACAATAGAGCATTTGCAATATGGGATCAATATGTTCAAGTGACAAGCATGACTTGCCTTGCTCTGTGGCTGGAGGGACCTCGGCAACTATCTCAAAGTACACCGGAGCGTCGGGAGAGCCGGAATCTATGCGACATACAAGGCAAACAATGCAAACAAGCTATAAGACTACTGAACAGAGAACAAAACCTTTTGTAATGGATTGTTTGCATTTTTCTTGATTTACTGAGACTTGAATGGGCTTAAACGGAGCATGGACGAATTAGTTATGATTTTTAGAAGATTATATGTGTTTATTACTATAACAGAAAATCCTTAATTGATTTATTGCGTAAATAATACCCCTGGCGACATCATCAGAGAGAGTGGCAGCGCCGACATGTGGGCCCCACATGTCATAGGCTCGGGGTGCGCCGGTCCACGGGATCGGTGAGGGGTGCACCACGTGGCGGCGACGTGGGCTGCCACGCGGGCAGCAGCGAACGGCCCCGATCTACTCGAGGGTAGATCGGATGGCGAGGGCGGCTCGCGGCCTGGCACGCATGGGCGGCTTAAGCCGGCCCAGCGGCCATGGCGCTCGGCGGCGCGGTGCGGCGCGGCAGCGGCGCAAGGCGGCGATCGGCGGCGAGCGGCCAGCAGCGGAGAGCGGCGGCGCTACTAGAGGGAGAGGGAGAGGGATAGGGGATGTCGGTCGTCATCGAAGGGTTCAGCCGGCACGGAGGAAGGCGACGGCGAACGACGACGACGGGCGATGGAATGACGATGGCGACGAGCAGCCGAGCTTCGGGGAAACCTAGGGAATGCAATGGGGGAAATTAGAGAGGGAGAGGGAGAGCAGAGAGGGTGGAGGCGCCGGCCGAAGGCGGTGGCCATGGTGGTGCTCACCAGCGCGAGGAGGAAGGCGTGCTCCGGCGGCGGAATCGGCCGGGCGGACGGCGGACGGGATGGCGCTTGGGACGGCGAACGCGACGGGCGTCGACGGCGCGGATCGGCACGGCGGCTAGCGGCGGCTGGAGCGGTGGCGGCGACGGCGGAGAGGAGGGTGACGGCGCTAGGGCAGTGGAGTGCACGGGAGGGCTCGACGAGAACGGGAAAAAGGTGGAGGAGGATGCAGGGGTAGTTTATATAGGGCCGGGGAGGTCGGACATGGCCGAGAGGTGGGAAGTGGCTGGCGAAGTGGGGGAGGTGGAGAGAGAGAGGCCGGTGGGATTCGAAATTCGAATCCCGGCCGTTTCTCGGTACGGGCGTGCGGGGAAAGTGGGGCGGCGGTCGCGGACATGCGGGAGAGGGCACGAAAGGCGGGCGACGTGCACGGGAGGCGCGGGAGAGGCGGGGAGGCGGCGGTTGCAGCGTGGGCGGCGGCGGCGGCCGGAGGTTGGGGACGGGCCCGATAGGTGGGCCCCACCTGTCGGTGACTCGGGAGGGAGGAGGGGCGCACGGCCGGCCTACTGGGCCTCGGCCTCGAGCCGGCCCAGCTAGCGCGCGGGGAGGAGAAGAGAACGGGCTGATGGCCCAATCAAAGGAAAAAGGAAGGAAAAAGGGAAAAAAGAAAAGAAAACAATTTCCAGGGATGAAATAATTGCTTGTGCTCATTTTTAATTGATTAAAATTATTTCTAGAGCTCTGAAAATTCCACTAAAAATCCTGTTAGCATATTTTGACATGAATAACCCAAGAAAAATTCCACATGCTATTTCCAATTATTATTTGCATTCACTACTTTAGGGTTTCTCTCTTGACTTTAAACAACTAATTTCTTGAGACAAATTCCAAATTGAATTTAGGCTTGGGAAGAACTTCAGAGTGTGACAAATACCCTCTCCAGGAAAGTAACTTAGGATTATATACTAACGTAGAGGAATACCCGTACTGAGCTGTCACCATCAATGGCCCACCTCTACTGTCCTGTAGCATATAACCCCAAATAATAATATTCAATAGCCTAAGCACCTCGCTTATGCTACTAAATACTACTCTACAATCATCATCATGACTTAGAGCAATCATATAAATGAACATTATGCCCACACCAATGCATCCCCCAGGTAAGCTAGCTAGACAATTATATCTCAAATAATATATCGAAAAGTCGGTACTCAAGGGATCAGAATGAAGTAAAGTAATATTCTATAAATAGTACAAGTCTTACAAAAGAATGAACTCTTCTGAAGACTCCGAGGATTGAAGAAACTATTCTATTCCTACTCCACTAGCTCTAGAGCACTAAACTAAACTTGAGAGAATATGAGAAGCTCTTGCTTGAGTGTGTGATGGAGTGGAGGATGAGAGCTCCCTTTATAGCCTCCCAATGACGGTTGTGATGGTTGGAATGGTCAGAAATGCCCTCCAACTGTCATTGGGATGCAATCCTGGACGTCCACGCCAAACCCTGCATCCAATGGTGCAGGTGGGGGTTCGGCCAAACCCATGGTTTGGCTGAACCATGGGCTGGGCCAAACCACCCCAATTTCGGCTGGCGGCCTCCTTATCTCCTCCCTTATCCAGAACAGTGAATTTTGGGCCTATTGGATCGTGGCAATTTTTTGTTCTTGTCCCATTTATCCATAAGTCTGGATCTCGACAGCGTCCGATTGATGGATCGTCTATTTTGCTGTCGATTCTCCTCCATTTTGTACTTATTTTCTGCAAGGGGTTATAATCCTAGTGCTAGTGGAAAATAACTTATTCTAACACAAATATGCATTGCAAACATAACTAGTTCTCCTTTATTTTAGTAATATTGACTGGCGAAACTGATCGATAACGATCGTCAACAACGGGCATGTGCGACACGTGTCTGGGGCACCACCGACCCTAATGATTCGCTGCAGAAGTCTTGTCGAAGTCTTTCCATTGTCAGTGGGATAAATCTTCTGTAAGCTTTGGTTTCATCATAAGGGGGGTGCAGTGCCTTACAGCTGACCGTGCCCCTTGCGTCTTTAAGGCGGTAGTTAGGATATTTCTAGTCGAGCTTCTCGAGGAAGATACAACCGGACGGATATCTCTGAGTTACTTCCCTAATAAGCTTTCATGCACTTCCTTCGTAGAGAAGGAGAAACGATCCCTACCGAGGGCAAAGTCAGCCTGGGCCCCGGGCATGCCGAGACCGTGGTAGCCTTTGTTACGTAATCTGACGAGAGCGGGAGAGTGGGAAAGAGAGACTCGCCTGGGTAGGTTCAGCCCGTACCTAGGTCCGGGCGCTTCCTCGGCTCCTACGCTAGGAACGCTCCTTGTTGAGCGCTCTTCCCTTCCAGCCGAAGGGCGCGGGCTTCGGCAAGGAGCTTGGTTAGAGCATCTCCAACATGCTCTCTAAATTCAACTCTCCAAATGTCTATTTGGCCAACTCTCCATTTCATTTGTTAAGTCAAATTGGTTGTTTACTCCAACAATCTCTCCATCCATCCTCTCTATTTTGAGTCTATGACAGCGGGATCTATGCGTCAGCCTCTATACCGCTTCTCCCCCATCTTTCTCCCCCTTTTCCTCTCCCTCTACCTCTTCGCATTAGCACTTCCGACGACGGTGCGGACGGCGGCGGCGGGCGCGGCTGGAGACGGCGCGGAAGGCGGCGGCGGCAGCGGGCGCGCGGCTGGGGACGGCGCTGACGGCGGTGGCTGGCGCGGACGGCTGTGGCGGCAGGCGTGGCTGGGGACGGCGCTGACGGAGGCGGACGGCTACGGCGGCAAGCGTGGCTGGGGACGGCGCTGACAGAGGCGGCTGGCACGGATGGGGCGGACGGCGGCGGCGGCGGCAGGCGCGGCCGGGGACGGCGCTGACGGCGGCGGCGGCGGCAAGCGCGGACGGGGACATCGCTGACGGCGGCCGGCGGCGGGCGCGGCTGGCGACGATGACGACGCAGAGGACGGCGGCGGTCGTGGCTGGCTCCGGCGCCTCTCTCCTCCCTACCGTCGTTGTCGTGTGGTTCTGCGGCGCTGCCTTCTTGCTAGGGAGAGACCGAGAGAGAGATGGGGGTGGGAGAGGGAGTGGTGGGGGCCACGAATAGCCAGGCAGGGTGACTCTCCAAGTTTGGCCATTGAGGGGTGAGATTTGGCCATCTGGATGGCTTAGCTAACATGATGGAGAGGCTATTGAAGGGCATTTTTTCTTTATACTTGTTAAAATTTAACTTGGCTAGCCATTTGGCCATTCTTAGATCGGGGTCTCGGGTCTGGCCCGATCCGCGGCTAACCTCGAGCCGCATTCTCAAACCCTATAGTTGGGGCCCACGACCATGTCCTTCTATTAGTTCCCTCGTTAAAAGGTGCTTTATTGTTTTGACGGTGAAATGGGTACACCCATTCCCATTTCGTCGACAGTTCGTATTAAAAAGTCAAAAAAAATTGAAAAATACATCATGTATAAAAAAATTTTATACACATATGAAAAGTTTGTGTTTGCACGTATATATCCCGTACGCATAAAAAAACCAATAAAAAGGGAAGGAAAAAACAAAAAAAAATACCGAATAAAAAAAAGGCCCACGCGCGGCCCTCGTCTCGGCGAATTAGCAATTTTGCACAAAAGATGAAGTGAACGGAGCGATGTTTAATGGGCCGGGCCCGTGCTGTGGTAGGCTGGACCTCTCAACTAAAGAAAAAGGATATTATAAAAAGAGAGAGAGTGTGTTCCTCTTCTCTTAGCCCCAAATTTGCGATCCAATCCCCTCCTCCTTGGTCATGTCTTCGTCGTTGATTCCCCCTCCACTTGCCGATTCCGACGGCGCCTCCCCGCCGCCGCACTGGGTTCTCATCGACATATGGTGCTACATCGGCGACCTCCCCAACGCCACCACCGCCGAGTCCACAACCAGCACAGGCCTCCCCATCAAGGTCACCTTCCGCACCGCACGCCCGCCGCTCCTCTCCCACCTCTGCGTCCACTGCCCGGGCCTCGACTTCCTCCGCGCCACGCCCAAGGTCATCGCCTCCCACGCCGACCTCCTCCTCCTCGTCGTCCCCTTCGATCCCCTCACCGCCCTCTCCAGCGGGACATGGGATTACTTCGTCTACCGCGCGGCCGACCCTCCTCTGCTCCACCTCATCCCGCCCCCGCCGCGCTCCATGCGCTTCAACGACTCCGAGGTCGCCATCGTCAGCCACGGCGACGGCGAGTACGCCGTCGCCGCCCTCGCCTTCGCCGGCACTTTCCTCTCCGTAAACAAGGATTTCCACCTCCACCTCTACCATGGCGGCAAGCAGCAGCAGGGTGAGTGGGTCTCCAAGCTCTTGACGCTGGAGGATCAGCTGAGAGACAAGCTTGTGCCTTTGCCCAAAGCGGCTGCGGAGTACAGGTTTTACCAGGAGACAAGGAAGACGATCGTGATTGGCGGCGAGCGCGGTACGGTCGGCTGGGTAGACCTCTGGCGTGGCATCATCTTCTGCGACGTGCTCGACGACCACCCCGTGCTCCGCGACATGCCCCTGCCCCTGCCAGCGAGCGGCAACTGGGATCGCCTCCTCAAGCAGACTGACCCCAACTACATCCGTGATGTCACCGTCAGTCTTTGCAGAGACTCCATCAAGTACATAGAGCTGGAGATCGTTGGGACAGGAGAGACCCACACCACTGTCCAGCCAACTGAATCTTACCAGGAATGGGTTCGGCGAAAGCCAAGGTACACCAGCTCAGTTGTTCTCCGTCGTGGCTGGAAGGCCACCATTTGAACCATGCCAATTCCGGTGGCTTCATGGGAGCACTGGCGCCGTGATTGTCACCTCAATGTCAAAGACCTCAGCATCAATGTCCGTGACCCAAGCCACCTGAAGCTGCTGTCTAAGCTGAGTGGATGTGGCCACAGCAAAGCTGCATTGCGGAGCGTAGCAATGGTATTCCCCACCATAAGCATGGATGATGATCATGTCTACTTCTTTTCCATAGCCGGAAGCACGGACAAATTGGAGGCCGTGGTTACTGTTGATGTAAGGAATAAGAAGATACAAGGAGTTGCTGAGCTTGATGTCCGAAAATACTATTTCGGTATGCCCACCTACATCGCCAGTGAGATGTCCACATATCTGAAGAAAGTCACTACAGGTAACTTCTATGTGCTGGTATATACTTCTGATATATGTATAAATGCACTACTTGCTTGCCATCATTGTATTTGTCGCTGTTTAGTTTAGAAGAAGGGCCTTATGATACCTCACTAGTTCCACCAGTTAGGAACATATTGCAGTCTGGATCTCAGATTTGATTACGGCAATGTGAACACAAGGGGTACTAATACGGCTTGTTTCATTGTCTAAGCTGTATGATTGGCAACCAATAGAAATAGAATTTCAAATTGTGCTGTGCTCAATTTAAATTCCTTTTTGTCTTTGAGTGAAAGTACAGCAAAACCGTCTAGGACTATACTCACAATTCCTGAGCACTCAATTTCTTTAATGATGCTGGTTGAGTTTTGACAAATTAAGAATATAACAACACATTTAGAACAAATGCTTGTTGATTGATTGGATGCCAAGCTTGCCTCAAAGCATAGTGCAAGAAGATAAGCACCCAAGAAAATGCGTTTCAACCTTTGTTCCTGGCCAAAAGCACCGTTGAAGAACACAGTATCTCAAAGTTACCCTTTCAGACAAAGGTTATTTTTTGTAGCTTGGTCTTGCTCACTCCCTCCAGTGCAAAAAGAGGGGTAAAGGTGTCATTTTGGTGCCATCTCTAATCAAACATTTAAATTTATAATCAATCTCTTCTAAAATATTTAGATTGGATATAATATGTATAGATATGTCTTGTCCATGATAGTTGATTTAACACACGTTGAATTGAAATTAACGGTCAAAGTTATATATTTTAGAGACTGTCAGTGTTCAAAACAGCATGGTTCTGCTGCTCGACAGAGTAGTAAGATATATTTGATCAAAACAAAGTAACCAACCTACTAGCAGCTAATGACTAGTTCTTGCTATCGATTTTTGTTTTGTTTTTTTTCCCCTGCTACTAGATGATAGTAGTAGTATGGGTACTTCCTCTTTATAAAAAAAAATGTAACCAATTCCAGTTCTAGGCAATTTTGACGAACTCTTTTGTTGTTGTTCAGGCACAGGAGAGGTGGCACATGGACAAACTGAAAGTGCAGCAGTTGAAGTGAGGCGCATGTGAAAGGCGTGGGGGCCCATATAAAGAAGAAGAAACATTGGAAGAAAGAGCATCAGTGTACAGATGGATAGATGGAAGCCAGTTGGTGTTGAGATTCAGGATGCTGGTAACATTGTTGGTGGCGGTTTAGGAGTTCATTTGTCGTTTGCAGTATGGAAACTGGCTTGGGGTTTATCTGCGCCTAGAGAGATAATTGTAGGATACGATTTATTGTGTACTAGTGAACTTTTACTGCAAGCTGAAGCCATTTTATAGAAATGGGGAGCTAGTAGTGATAATTTGGCAAGCAGTTACCATGGTCTTTTAAGGACGAAGCAGCCTAAGTTCTGATGTACGCTATATTTACTATTCGTATTCAACAACATCGTACCACTGCTTTATTTCGCCCTCCCTTGTATGCATCATCTTTACTACTGGTAAAAAAAAATATGGGCTCCGAGACCAAACCAGCTTTGTCATTACCACATGACAATTTTGAGGCTTCCTTTGGTTAGAAGGATTTGTAGATAATTTTGAGGCCTTAAGGCTATAATTAAGGCTATAATTTTGTTCCCTTTCAATTAAGGGCTATATTTTTTTTTAGTTATCAACTGCACTACAATTTATCAACTGAAAAGATAACACCAGAGATGCAAAGCCAGTGCAACAGCATAGCACAACGGTAGGGTGAGCGCAACAGTAGCAGGCATGGGGAGGGTGCCCAATTTTTCAGCACGTGCCCGATCCGATGCAACCTAAAAGTAAATACTCCTATTTCAAAGTGCAGTAATAATTTTCCGTGTTTAATATTTTACTATCCATTTTATTTGAAAATTTTATTTAAAAAATTTAAAAAATAAGTTAAGCATAAAGTATTATTTATTTTTTATAATTTAAAAACAACAAAAATACTAATCATAAAAAAATTAAATAAGATGGATGTTCAAACGTTGGACACATAAATTCACAACTGTGCTTAAAATGGGATAGGAGTAGAAGATTGAGCGCAAGAACCGACGCTACTCAAAAGCAATATACGCTCCCAGCCATGTTATACCGTTTGCTCAAAATCCAAGAACTTCACAACAGAAAAGTAAAGATTGATATAGAGGGTAAGTCAAAAGCTAAACATCTTAGAGCCATGACAAGGATAACAACACAAGGATAACAGCACCGTCAGCCATCAGGGTTCTCGTTGTTGTTAATTGATAATATTCCCTCTATTCCCTTTTAATCATCCCCTAAAACTTTTATGGTCTTCCTAAAATGATCATCTAAAATGATCTATCATCTAACAAGTGTTTTTGTTTGTTTGTGCAAGAGTAAATGAGCATTGTTAAATGCGCTACATACAACCAAGCAAGAATATTTTTTATTAGTGCAACATCATGCAATATATTTAAAACGTGACACAATCCACAAACACGAAACAACAAAACACCTTAACCAATATGGATTAAAATGATGAAGGTTAACAGTCTTCAGTATCTACGCTTTTTAGATTTTTCTTAGGTGATGATTAAACTGGGATGGAAGAACTTTGCTTAGGTGATAGTTAAATTGGGATAGAGAGTACAAAATATACTGATGGACACAACCATCAATGTGTAAGCTGCCTAAATCAGATGAAAACCATCATGAACCAAGTTCGAAGCTCTTGGTATATGTCCTCTTGCCTCTTACCAGGAACCAGACAGACAACCAGTCACAAACAACTAAACAAGACACCAGAGCCAGCTAAACACTATCTACAGGAAACTTTCAGCCGATTACTGTTCGTTTGACTACTCAGGTTCTTTGCCACTAGTAGCTGAGGGCATGGATTCCAGAACGGACATCTGTCGATCTTCAGTTATATCTTCCACTGTTGCAAAAGAAAAACCACACTATAAACACGAGTCTCATGATTTTGTTTCATAAGCAAAAACATACATCATTCATGAATAAAGACGTACATCAGTGATTAAAAGTGTATCTAGTCACTACAGAGGCTCCACCATGTTGTGTACATCCAATATCTCCTCGAACCTACAAAAGAACTCACAGTTAGTTCTCCTTTATGTTTTAATTTGGATTAGATTGATAGATTTTAGGAGAACAAAATACTTACACTTGCCAAAGTTCTTTCGTCATCATACCACTGTAGAACAACTCTTCCAACATGTCATTCAACTCCAGGTAATGTGAATACAGCAAATCTAGCTCTGAAAGCATCTCAATTGATTCATCGTCTAGTTGATACATTTCATCTTCCAAGACTTCATCATCGCTCTAAGAAATTTAATGTTCTGTTAGGATTCAAGTTCAAGTTAAGAAAAAAAAACAAATAAAAGATAGAATGTATTACCTCAAGTTGTGCTGGATCCATCCCGTGTTCAATCACGTGGCGAGTGTAAATAACAAGATGGTTAGCTGAATTATCATACTTCGTCAACTTTGCCATCTTGTAATCTGCATCATTTGTTTTTTCACCACCTTTCTGATCCTTAGAATTCTCACCATTTCCTTCCTTTGTCTTTCCACCACCATTTCCTTCCTTATCCTTTTTTTTGTTGAATAGGTACACTTTTACCAGAATGGGATGGCTGTGCAATAGAACAATAACCCTCCAGTCTGATCTTAATGATAAGCTCCTAAGAATGGCAAGTAGAGTTTTTCTAACTTGTCGATTTGCACATCTCCGGAGCCTGTAAAGATTTGAAAGGAACCCAATCCTAACGACAGGACGCTTCAAAGCAAATTGCGCCATTGCAAAGCATTGAAAATGCCTGAATTCATCGCAGAAGGATGGAGAAGGAGCTGGCATGAATCTTAACAAGGACTTCCGCATCCAAGGAAAAAAGGCAGGACATCCTACTCCTTTTAATTCAAATAGGGAGATCACTTCATCAAAATATGCTATATAATCATTGAGCATAGAGTCCCTGCTGAACTCAGCATGGAAAGGCATAGAGATTTCAGAATAGCAACCATTTCTTACTAAAATGTTCTTTCTTTTAAAACTGCCATTCCAGCTGTTGCGACTAGCATGTGCCTTCAATATTTCTTGAAGCGCACCTGTTGCTATGATTCTTCCAACTCTTGTACCACTTGCAACAGTTAATGAACTCCCAGTAGCGAATAAAGTTCTTGGTTCAACAAAATGATTTCCAGGCAATTTCACAAAAGCCTCAAGTGACATTAATCTGCAAATGTAACAAACATAATAGTTGCATAAACAGGTATAACACAAAGTCAAAGTAAAATAGTGTACAAATCAATTAAGTGAACCTGTCAATTTTCGGTAAGCCATCTATACGAACTATAATGTTGTCGAAGCTTTCAAACTTCTTCATGAACATCCCTTCCAACTGACTTCTAAAATCCATGATAAATGATTTTGCTGCATAGTTCAGATCTAGCCTACTTCTGCAACAAAATGTACAAACCAATTAAGAAGGCAAAAGCATCCTTGAAACAAAAGAAGAAATAGAACAGAAAAATACCTCTCAAAGTCATGGCATATCATAAGTGCAAGTTCATTATCAAATATCTTGATATGATCAAACTTTACGTCCATCATTGGAAGATCAAGAAAAACCATAGAAGCAGCTGTTCCTTTGTAATAAGGCTCTTCGGTATTCCCCAATCTAAACCTGTAGTCATTGTTGGAAAAATGAATTAAATGCAACAGTCTTTAACATAGACTACACAAAATTAAAGTTAGAAGTCTGACCCTCTGAGAAATTCGAGAAAACGATTTGTAAAAGCACTTTGTTGGGCACGGTGCTCTGATGAAGCTTTCGAAATATAGAGGGGTTTGTCAACAAATGAAGAAAACCCCCTCTTGTTGGAAACAGTAGGCACTGACTTGGCCATTACATCAGAGTTACAGACCACCGTCGGGTAAGAAGGCCAATACTTAAGGTCACAGCAACCAAATGAACCGAACAACAATTGAGCCCGTTCTTCTTCTGCTATTATCTGAAATAAAAAAGAACAAATTCCTTTTACTCAATTGGTCTTCATCCTTTGTAAGAGGTACTTCCTATCCATATACATGTAGGCCATTTGAGCCTTCTTAACTCTCTCCTAAATATAAGGTGCTCTAGAGTTTTGATGTACCTTCTCCTTTTCTTGTTCTTCTATGTTTGCCCTTACCAAGTAGATGCTATTGCTAACAAATACATGACTCATCTTTTCCGATTGGGTGTAAATGAAGGGGAGAAAATCATTTGAGTTAATTTGCAAATCCTTGTGATAAGTTTAAACAATTTAAACTTTGAACTGTATATCATAATTTCATCACTAAGTTCTAATAAAATGTTTCTGCGAGACGTAAAACCAGTATCTAAAACTTATTTTAGGAACTTCAATAAAGTCTGGTGCACAATGCATTTTCCAACAAGAATCAGACAATCTATGGCACATCACATGCAAACAAAGAAAAGCTTTCAAGATAGGGGTAAATTCCATTGCTATTAGAGTAATATATAGCTATATCCACATGGCAGACATTTAAATGAAAATAAAAGCTTTCTACCCATGAATGATGCATGCTAACATTTCAGTGTGTTGTCACAACTACGGTAGAATGGGCTGATATTCGTTGCTTTGGGCCAACAACTTTCAATGAAATCAAACTGTTTGAGTAGGAATGGATTAAGAAGTACTACAATGTACTGGGATTCAGATCTATACTACTTTAAAATGTTGGTAGTGGTGGTGGCAATGAATCTACCACCACCACTCCTTTCACTTGTGTGGGCCCCACAATAATGTTAGTGACGCATTTGTGCTCCCTGAGATTCAAATGGAAAGAGTTGTGTGCCTCTGCTTTAACTAGCCCAGTAGACATCCAAAAACTGATGGCGAAATATGACTTGATAGGTCAACAGTTTTAGGCTTTAAAAAATAAAAATGAATGCCAAATGTTATTTTCCAAAATCCCGTAGCAAGCCACAGGCAAATCAGCTAGTGTCTGAAGTATATGATGATCTTGCAATTGTGCCTGAGATTCAGATATTTCAAGTACCTGACGGCCTAGTGGTTGTGGTGAAGATATAGGTGTTGAATATGGCACAGCTTGAATTGAACATTTAGGGGTTTGTGAAGCCGCTGCGTCCTTTAGTTGATCTGATCTTGCAACTTCAGGAGTGCTTGAGGAGCTATGTACCTTTTGAGGTAAAATAACATCTGTTATTTCAGCAGGTGGCAACTGCTCCTCAGTTACCACTTCAACAGCTGACAAGTCCTCATGACTGCAGTTGAGTTGCCAAAGAGAAATTAAGAACAATCTGAATGCAAGTGGTATTGATGACAATAGGTAGTTGTAATGTAGGAAAAAGTTTAACTGCAAGGAACACTTTGATTTAATGAGCTTGGTGGTTTAGAAGCACAATGGTTATTTATATACGCTGAGATGCATACCACTATTAAGCTACCAAAAAAGTGGAACCATGTCAATGTCTGACATATGCAACGCCTTTGAGACATGAGTTGGAAGAAAATGGAGCATAAATTTATTAAAGTTAGATATATACAACGGACCACCCAAAGTTCAAACAAAACAAGGTGTAAACATATTTAAAATCATAGCAGTTATCAATTTATTGAATCTATTGGAAGTCCTACATGCAGAAGAAAAATGCATCGTAGCTGAACCCACATCCTCACTTGACACAGTTGTATGGTTTTCAGACAAGAACTGAACACATAATAGGAAGGTAATGCAGAAACACAATATTATCAACTAAAGGTCTGTTTGGCAGTGCTCCAGTTCCAAATATTCTTGGAGATGGGGCTGGCGATGGACTGGGAATTATATGGTAAGTCCCTGAAAGAACTATATGGCAAGCATCTTTCTTAACGTATTTAATATGTAAGATAGAAGACTAAACGTTAGCCTACAAACTCCATAGTCCATTCTACGAGAATCCAGAAGCTTCCGTAAACAGAGCCTAAATAATATAGTTGAAAAAGAGAAGAATTCAACAAACAGACAATCTTGCTCCAATGATGTTCGTCTCCAGTATGAATAATTATAAATGGGTATAAAAATATAAAAGGATTTCATAGACTAATGATTCAGTGCAATGGAATTTCTTCCTGATACAACTAGCACTAAACAGGAATCAAATTAAACAAGATTTAATAAACAAAAATAACGCCGCACAATGATGATCCATTTCAATGTAAAGTACAGATACCATGGAATTGGAATGTCTGGATTGACCGTATTTTCCTTTCCAGCAGGAGCATTTCTTCCAGTATGATCTGAAGCATCAGAAAATAGTATGTGAAATACAAGAATAAACCATTTTTTCACTAAAGAGCTACTTTGAAGTGGACACAACGAATTAAGATAGGAGAATATCTAATCCTATTCAAATATGCTACACTACTGCAGTTATTATTCACACACAAGTTGGGGTACGAATGGTCCTATTAACTACAAAAATTCATCAGTGATCATTCAATCCATATGTTTGAACATAAATTATAAGACAAGCTAGACTTTGAAGAAAACAAGAAAACGACATGAGCTGTACATAAAGAAAAAATTGGATGCCACATCTATAAACTTGCTACAAAACTTCAAGTTTTGCAGAACAAAGTCATGCCAGCCTACCACTAGAGTTGGATAACTGATGTGAACAATAATTGCAAAAGAGATTCAAGAGACAGACCCAAATAAAGAAGAAATAGTAATCTTTGCCGAATAGGAAGAAAAAAGATTCATATTTCGATACAAGAAGAATCGACACAAGAAAAAGGCAAAAAATTACCCCATTCATTCTTTCCACCAAGTCCCTGGGGCCACCATTGGGGATCAGCAGATTCTTGGTTACTCTGTGAGACATGGCAAAAACAGGCATTAGACATTTCTGTAACAAAGACATAATTGTCTTAACAGATTATATGTCATGTTTCAATATAAAAAGATTCTTGTAATTGCAACAACCCAATTATTTTGCTTAACCAAGATCACTGGCTATCATTGCATTTAAGAACAAGAATACAGATTTACTTCCTACAAACAATACAGAATGTATCTTATGACCAGAGGGAGAACAAACTCAATGTGGATAGCATTTGTATTGAACACTCTTATTGTGGAAATATTTATGTAGCCTCCTGCCACATCATGCTACTGTATTGCAGCACTCCATGGATCCTACCAAAACGTCTACATGGAATATTATAGCTATTCAAATCAATCTAATTGCTGTTCACAATGTAATTACAGCAATTCAGTATATACTTGTATTTGTCATTCTAGTATATCAGTATATGGTAGCTGTACAATTGAACTAGAAAGGTTAGTGCAATTTTTGTGCTTTTCCTGAACACAACTTCAGCATATTGATTTCAGCAAGTTGTTTTGGTTTCTTTGTTGTTCGTTCTTTTGTAGATCAACTAGCAAAACACTCATGCTTTGCTATGGGTAAAAGAAAATATATAATAATATGTTAGACATGTTTGCTTATTTGAATACATAATATTCACTTGATTCAAACAAATATTAGACTATTGTATAATATCAGAAAATATCAAGGACTAATTTGCAGAAAGTACAAAAGTAGTGGTGGTGGCAGAACAACCACCCCACTAGTGTCTTTTATAGTAGTATAGATATTTTTTCAGACATATTTTTTTCTGTTTAGCCATGAGTTTTTGTAATATGTTAGCTTTGAAACATTGAGTAAAGTGCCATCTTAGTGATGCATTTATGATATGCTTCTGCTATAACACATTGTAGATATAAGGTAGTGCTAGTTCGGTTGTTAAGGGTTTAGCCCAGGCATGACGGAATCCTGGGTCCGCCGCTGACTGACAATCTTGTTCAAGAAATTGTATTGTTTAGAATTAGAACATGCCCAAAGCCCACATCACTAAATGTGGTATTTTTGTACTCTCCACTAGCAAAGATTGTCTCAACCATGCTCTCATGCCTCTGGAGCTTTTTTAAAGTTGACCACAACTATTATCTGCTTATCAGTTCCAAGAATGAAGATAATGCAAGAGCAGTAAGAAGCTATAGGCTAAGAGAAATAAAATTCCTTAAGACCAACTATTAGGATAAACTATGAAGTTACAGGTGAATGACTACGACAGATTATTGGAGTGAAGTACAAGAAACAAAACAAGGTACCAGGTTTGAATAACAGCATTACATCGTACAAAGTAGAGAAGTTATACCTGAATTAGACGAGCCTGATCACTGCAGAAGCTTGCTCCTTCACCGGCATATTTAATTGGTGTGAAGGAGCTATCCACAAATGAACCACCCCCATTCACCTAATGTACCATGACTTTGACATTAAGACATGCATTTCAATCAAACAAAAATTAGTAGTAAATAAGGACATACATCTTCCAACTTTTGCCAAACAGCACCGGATTCACTTGATAAGAAACTTGAATCGGAAGCTAAAATATATAATTCTTCTTCAAACTGCAAAGGTCAAAATATAATAAAGGCAGATAAACAAAATTAGTACTAAAATAATCAAAGACTGTTAACCTTGTTTTCTCACCTTAATTACTGTGCTCCAATGATTATTCCAGAAAAGTACACAAGGTTTCTTTTCTTCAAGGTCTTTATGCAAGCATGACAAGCTGCAACAATAAAAAATTGTACTTCAACATGTTCTTTTTCTGTTAGTTCCAAAGTATTCTATTTCAAAACATGTAAATTAAACTTTATACCCATGGGCAGTCAGTTGAGGGCCCTGAAGAAAATCTGAGATCTGCTCCACTAAGAAAACATTGAGTAAAGAATAATATTAATGTTTAGGGTAAAGAATAATATTTATGTTAAGATTGGCAAAGTTATGTTCAAATAATATGTAATTCAAAAACGAAACTAATGCTGTTGTCCCCGTGTTTGATCAGTAACGCTGTTGTCCCCCATGGAAAGTTTAATGGCTCTCAGCAGTTGTTCATCTTCTTCACGATCACCACGCCCTTTAATCCCCATGGCTTCTTTTTGCGATATATACTCTCCAACTTCTAGATTAAGTTCATCATAAGAACTTGTAGCAATAGCTGACGCCAACTCTGAATCCTGATAATCAATGTAACAATTGAAAACCAAAATCTGAGAAATAGTTATGTATATGCTATGGTTGTGTTTGGTTGCCTGCACCTAGCCTAGCGATAGCAATCGGGCCTGATGAGAATGACTCAGGAACAAAGCCCTAAACTAAACCCTAGCAATCGGGCCTGATGAGAATGACCCAGGAACAAAGCCCTAAACTAAACCCTATAGCAGTGCCCTCCTATTCCTTGCCCACTGCTCATGCTCATCCATCATCCTGTTGTATGTATGTAGAGGTAGAAGTGAGGTAAAGCCCTAAACTAAACCCTATAACAGTGTCCTCCCATTCCTTGCCCACTGCTCATGCTCATCCATCATCCTGTTGTATGTATGTAGAGGTAGAAGTGAGGTAATCTGAGGGAGGCGAGGTGACTGATATGTGCACATATGATGAGAAGCTGTATCTCCACTTCTCCAGAGCAGGAACGAAGGCCCACACTTTTGCATTTGCCTGGCTAGGTTTGGAAACAAACATATCCAGCAAAACAGCCAGTTTAATTTTAATACTCTGCTTACACTTTCATCCTCACTTCATGTAAAAGGGTTAACTCGCTTCATATAAGCAGGCCCCCACTCACCTAAACTTCCGAGTTGGTACTAAAACACCACCACAACAACACTTCTGGGCCACATGGGCCAACACCTCCTACATCTACAGGCTTCAAATGGGCTGAGGTGTTCCATTACTGCGTCTGATAATGCGAGAAAGGTACCGTGCAGCAAAGCAAAGACACCACATTAAGCATGATGCTGCATTGAAGTGCAACTGCAATAACTACACATTCAGTGTTCTCGGTGGTCTTACATTTATGCACAAAAAAAGAACATAACAATTAGGTTCTCTTACCTGATCCACAAGCCACCCATGGAATACAGGGATTTCAAGATAATCAAAAAGTGCATATTCAGGTGAGAACACAAAGCCATCAGTACTGCAATGTCAACATTTCAAACATCAGAACACACGCAAGCACAAACACAACCAATCAGCACATTTTATATCATTATCACCTTTTAAAAGTCACATTTATGCATACTTCTCTCCAGAGGTTTTTTGCTACAGATAAAACTTTATGTTGGAATTCTGAGTACTGAAAACCCTCATGCAACTCAAACTGCAAAAGAAAAAGGGAAGCCTGAGTTACATTTGTATTTATTGTGAGAAATTACAGTTATATAAAAGTTGCAAACCTGCATCTTTCTGCATCTTTTAAGGCGAGAAATGATACGACTAAGAAGATCATCCTCCATCACTTCAGTTTTGTTTAGGAACAATCCAATCTCACTCCTTAGGAGAAGAACATTGCCTGCACAGGCACATGAAACTAATGTAAATTAAGCTAAACATAGAACAAAAAAAAAAAGGGAAGCTGTATACTCTTACAGATCACGATAAGACCGCATGGCCCATTCTCATGCTGGTGAATAATGTGAGTGGGACGACCAAAGAAATCAATTGTCCTAGTCTTGTAGGACACCTTCGGAGGTCTGGTCACCACAACATTTTGTTCAGTGTTATTCTTCTCCTTCTTCCGCCTTTTGCTGTCTTTCTTTTTAAATTTCTTCTTGTCCTTAAGAATGAGTTAAACAGAAAGAGAAGGCAGAATATGAATTTTGGTGACAATCAACTATATTGCAAGCTACTGTACTTTTCTGCAATATTGCATGTGTATATTGTAATGTTAATACATGCAGTAGGAACAACCTCATAATGAGAATGGGAACTGGAATCATAGCTGCCATTTGAATTATGAGTAAAAAAAACAAAAGAAACTTGAATTGTCAAAAACAGGAGGCATAAAAGGGTCAGATAAGCTTCTTGTTGATATAAGAAAGCCACTTTTATCCAATCTAATACCTAAGATTGCGACTATTATTCTAGATATATTCCCATTTTGATACAGTTGCTCGATGCAACACAATTATTCTACATCACCCTCTTCTAGCAGTATAGTAAAACACCAATCTAGAAATAACATAACTATATAGCAGTATCAAATGGCACTAAAAACCCAGCAAATTGAAATGTCAAAGGGCCCTTCGCCAAATGTAGTCAAAATGATTTGTTATTAATGCATGGTAAGAGCAGTGAAGTGTGCCCACTCTTTTTGAGTGAAAAATTTTAATCAACAAAAACACTTGAAACTTTACTTGGAAAAACTGATTCTTCAGCTCAGTAAATCATCTGGAAACCACTATTACCTTTGCAAAAGTGATTTCTTCCTCTGCAATTATATCTTTTATCTTCTTTTCATTGTGTAAAAGCTCAGGAAAGTCTCCACTCATTGATTCGATAAATGCACTTACAAGGCTGTTCAAGGAAAAAAAAAGATCAATTTAAGTATTATAAATCCCAGGCAGTCATCATATAGGACATGTATTTTTTCCCTACAGTCTAAGCAGAGTTATTGACCCACATTGCAAGCAATTTAGCCTACTCCAAATAACAATACTTGTACATGGGTGGTGGCAACGGTCTGGGAGGAAAAAAATTTTCCATATCAAAGCCAAGTATCAGCTAAAATAAATTAAACTATCAAATGAAAAGGCACACATGAACCTAAAGCAATCATATCATAGGCCTTTGCTAATGTGAATAGAATCAAACAGTTCGGTCAGATTCCATGTTAAATCTGCCAATGACAAACCAAATATTTGTTGGAAAAAGACTCAGACTAAAACAAAGTAATAGTTGATAACGTCCACCACATCAGCCCCTAAATTCACTATAAAACTAGTTTGTTTCATGTTAAACCTTTTATCATACTCCCTCCATCCCAAAATATAAGTTATTCGTAGTACTAGGATGTGTCCCATCCAGTCCTAATACCTTATATTTTGGGACAGGAGTAACAGATATCTGCAGTAATGCTCTTCTTCCATAATCACAGGTGTAGTCATATTATTCTGCCTCCCATGGTAAAATACTTCCATCTCATGTGCTATTTTTGCAGTTCCACTAAAGACACATAGCATATGCGGTAACAAGTTACCATCTCATATATGCAATACTATAACCTAATACTTCTAGGACTATGATATGCATCAGTGCTGAACTCCGTATGTAGTACCAAGTATCCATCTCAATACATACAAGATAATAGCATCCTACAACTTGAGCTGTGGAGTGTTACTGCTGGTGCAAACAATAACAAAAAAAGATGGAAACTATGTGCTTGATGCAGGGTGCATGATAAAAATTCTATTTACATCCAAACCACCCATGCAGATTGACATGGATATTACCATGCAATGTAGTATATAAAAATTCCATGTGTTCGTGCAGTAAATTTAGTAGTGCACGGAATAAGCTATTCAACTTAGTAAAATTATGTACTAGTACTTTTAGAGACTTATATATGCACATCCATGTTAGCAACTGTACCATTTAAACTGATATTTGATTTCCAAGGTTCATAATGTTTAAATCCACAAAACCAAAAGGACTAGCTTTTGTGTCCAGAGGAAACATTGTTTTGTGGCATTCTGTGCAAGAATAAAGTTACGCAAGCATATGGACCAAAAGACGTGGCAAATAGCATAGACAAGTGATCGTTCTTACATTGTAAGAAATCGTTGCTTGGCCTTCAAGTTTTGATGACCGAAGTAAATAGCCCGCCTAAGCATATTCCTTGCTATCTCAATTCCTAAAAAGGATATAATATTACAGACAGGCAAGAACCATTTTTCACTACAAAATGAAGACTGAAAGGATAACAAACATATGACAAATAAAACAGGTAATGGTAGTGCAGTATGCACCACATAATCTTTTCAGTTCATTACCGTCCCTAGTAAACCAGGTGGACCAAGAATCTAGAGGATGTTCTGATGACAGATAAACTTTGAAGATCATCATACCATATAGAATGCAAGGTGACAAAGCTCCTTATTTCATTAACAAGGCAAATACATCTCATAATCGCATTTGCATGTGTCACAACAAGAAAACCCTAAGCATTTGCATGTGTTTCATATCATTTATCACCATCAAACAGTATATACTTACCAGGCTGAGAACCATCGGCAATAGCAAAACTACTTGTTCTTATGTGATCTGCAACTATCCGGTATGCCAAATCAACTTCATTAATATCATCAGGACCAAATTTACCAGAGTATGGTTGAATTTCATTGCCAGTACACTGCATTTAGATGTGCAAATTATTCATTAATAAATATTAATATATCATATACAGTATACAAAATCAATAGGAAACTATGGCTAACTATTATACAGAATAAAAACATCAAGTGTGCATATGGGCATCATACTTGGCGGATGGAGTCAATTGTCGGCATTAATATGTCGGTGTCAAATTTGCTCTTTTTCTTCTGAAGTATAGAAGTTAATTGTTCGAAGTTCAGTCCAGTGCCTACATGTTTGGCTGATGATGGCATCAATATGCCACCTGCTTCCTTATTGAACTAGAATTAAAATGCAAACAGCAAATGTAAGTATGCATAAGGAAAAACATCATGTACAAATAAAAATAAAATCACTGATTACATATAAAAGCTTATCAACCAGTACCCGAAGAAAAGCAATTAGCAATAGCACAGCACCGTGTAGAAGGAATAAATATGGATAGTCATCATGTACAAATAAAACAAACTAACTGATTATATGTATATGAAAAAACTTTAGCCATCTGCACAAAACAGATTAAAAGAAGTATACTAACCTGAAAAAAAACAAGATTCCATATCTCAATACAACCAGGGTCATCATTGTTCAATAATGAAGCAACATCATGATGACCAATCTGATCAAAATATATTTGACTGCACGGTCCACAAGGACCAGTGTCACCATTTTGGTAGAAGTTACCCTGTTGAGGTTTATATAATTGTTCGTTTGTAAGTAATGCAACAATAGTAAAATCGAATTGTATGAGCAAAATAATCTGAGAGAAACGAACATATAAAATGAAACTAATACAACAAAATGCCCTGTTGCCAAAAGCTCTCATCAGTAAGCCAGCACATGCACAATACCTTGTTGACAAGAGGTAGAACTTTATCTGATGGTAGATATTTAAGCCATATGTGTTTTGACTCCAGATCAGGGGCTAAGCCCGATTTCTCATCACCTCCGAAATATGTCACAAAAATTCTATCAACCTCCAATTCGTAGACCTGCATATCAGAGAATGATTCAGGAGTTACAGTCTGAAGCCCTGAATCAGCAAACACAACATATGCCCTGAATCAGCAAACACAACATATAGGTCGCTGACCAGATCATGATTCCATGAATGCAACATATAGGTCCCAGACCAGATCAAGAGTCCAATGAATGCATTTTAATAACTTAATAGATTGCACCTTCAACTGTTTCACCCGAGAAGCAACACATCAACTTAAGTGACATATAAACGGCGTTTCTCCTAATTGCAGATAGCCACATTTTTCATCTTCAAAAAAAATCAAACGTTCATCCCAAAACAATGGCATTGGCCACCATTTTTATGTTTCAATCAATCGTAGAAAACCGAATTAAAAAAAATCGCCCTAAAAAAACAAAAACTAGTCATTATTCCACTGTATACAACGTCCCTAAATCCCTTCAGTTGCGGAAGAACTAGATACCCCAATTCTCCTGCACATCAGGTAAATCTGCAGCCCAAAAATTAATCGCAAGCCACCCAAGACACTAGTGGATCACAAATCCAAATCCCACGATTTGCATAGCCCAGTCGTATCCACACATGAACACAAGATAGATGGAGAAGAGACTAAGAGAGGGGGGTGGGGGGGCGGGGGGGAACTGTTACCTTAGTCAAGAGCTCCCACGCAAATCCAATTGCCTCCTCCTTGAAGTAGTCCCCAAAGGACCAGTTCCCCAGAACCTCGGTGAAGGTGAGGTGCCTATCATCGACGGCGACGGGGATACAGCGGAGAGATTTGCAGGCGTGTCCCGGGCATCCGAGCTGCGAGCCTTGTGCAGCGGTGTCGAGGAGCACCGGCATGAACTGATTCATCTCGGCGTCGGCGAAAAGTAGAGGGGAATCCTTTGCGGCGAGGATGGTGCTCGGGGAACACCGGGTGTGCGCCTTCGACTCGAAAGAAACGTCTCCCGCACCACGCGGGCGGGCCATTTCGGTGGCGCCGCCATCGTCGGTAGTGCGGGGCGGCGGGGCAGTGGAGCGGCGGTGAGGGGGACGAGACGCGGCGCGAGGAAGAAGGAGGAGGAGGAGGAGAGGCGGTGCCGACCAAAACCCTACACCCTAGGATATATAAGTAGGATGAAAGAGCCGCGCCGAACGCCCGCGTACAGCGTTGCGGTGTCAAGTTCTTAATTAGCCGCACTTAACGTGATTAGCATAGGACTGATTAATTAAGTAGTATTATAGGACTTGTTTGATTTAGTGCCCTACTAAAATATTGGTAGTGCCAAAACTTAGGCAAGTTTTGGCACTACCAATATTTTGGTAGGGTAGCATTTTAGGTGAATGGATTTGGATTGATACCAATTGGAGACCAAATTTTATATTATAGTCAAGAAAGTTCTAGAATTATGTCAAATTAATCATGGACATTACCATTCACTTGGCTTCAAACCAAACCATTACATTCACTTGGCTTCAAACTACCAAACAAATTAGTAGGGCACATTTTGGCATCAATCCAAAATGGCCCATAATATATAAAATTTTGATTAATAAATTTATTACTATATAAATATTTTTCACGTAAAATATGCCGTTTAACTTTTTAGCTAAGCTGGAATAGCCGAAAAGAGCGCAACCTAATAACAATACTCCCTCCGTTTCAGACTATAAGACATTTTGGCTTTTATCAAAGTCGAATTTCAAGTTTGACTATGTTTATAGATAAATGTAGAAATATTTACAATATCAAATTAGTTTTATTAAATCAATAATTAAATATATTTTCATAATAAATTTGTCTTGGGTTGAAAATTTTATTATTTTTTCTACAAATTTGCTCAAATTTGAAGCAATTTGACTTTGACCAAAGTCAAAACGTCTTATAATCTGAATCAGATGGAGTGATAAAAATTAGGGTATACTCCACGCTTTGCTGTGGGATACGTGAATAAATGCAGGTTATACATTATTACAGAAATGATATATGTATAGTTTAAATAGTTTAAAAATGATGTCAAGACAATGATTTGATATTTCTTGCATATTGAATTCTAAAAGTACAACAACGTTGTAAATAATATATCATATTTGTGTTATATTTAAAATATTCTATATAATAATTATTAGTGAGTGATGATGTGCAGCATTTGCATGTTAAGCTTTAGGAGTTAGTGGACATCAACTTTATAATAAGATAGAATATACTAAAATATCATTTGTAATGGGGTTGGTGGATAGATTTGACAATGAGAAAAACACTAAAATACCCTTTCTAATGGCGTTGGACTGTTTTTCTAAGATAATGGAATAAATTTTTGGTCTTTGCTCAAAGAGCTACAGCTAATTATTATATAAATATGCTCAATGACGAGCGCATATCAACAAGTCCATAATAGCACACCCAATAAAAAAGAAGCAAAGCACAAACTAATGACCACCAACATTAAACAAAAAAAACCCCACAATTAGTGAAGCCTATTTGTGAATCTCCATCCGAAATTGATGAAAATCTGCATAATCGCCTCTAGGTTACGATATGCAGAATGCTAAGTTTGATGATGAGGACACAACTAGCTCGGATATAACCATGACTACCTTATGTATTAATAAACCAAAGGTGCATATGTTCTACATTAGGTTTACTTATTATATATTTGAACAAACGTTGCTACACAATGAGTTTTATGTGTTTTCGTTTGCAGAGGTACTTGCTTGGGCGAAAGAAAAGAGACCGAGCGTAAGGAAAGCGTGGATGATTAGAGAAGGTCTACCGTTGTAGCATTTCACCCGAGAGTATTCCAAGGGTATCGTATTTATTTTATCCCGTGGGAAGATCTCTACAGGTATCGTATTTATTTTATCCCGTGGGAAGATCATGTAGAGAGAACTTGACTAATAATTTATATATTACTTGTAATAATCATATTCTAAGTAGGGGTTAAGATAATCCAAGGGTAGAGTGACACACAAGCATCAGCTACTCATTCTCATAATATATTATCTAAGCTAAGTGGAAAGAAAAGAGAAAGATAATCTATTCATATACTTCTAATATACATAGTATACATACATTCTAGTTAACCGATATACTAGCTAGTACCCTCTATCCGATGCCCTCCTGGTAATTCGAGAAGCCATCCCTAACTGCCGAGTTCCTTACGATAGCCCGTCATGACCATACAACCGGGGCTAAATACGGAGGAATACCCTTCCCAGGGAATTATATACACGTGCGCAGGAATACCCATACTGAGCTATCACCATCAGCGGCCCACCTCTCAACTGCAGCATATAACCCCAAATAATGATATCCCGTAATCTAGACACCACGTCTAAATTATTAGATACTACTCTAATATCATCGTCATGACATAGAGTAATTGCATATGCAAACATTATACCCGCACCAAAGCATCTCCCAGATAAGCTAGCAGTATATTCATTATAACATGAACATAATGTAAAGTAGGCATTCATATACTCGGAAATTATTTCAATACCATAAATGTATATAGAAGAATATTCTAATAAAAGTACAAAGCTTACAAAAGAGGAAAGGAAAGCTACTAGAGCCATACCCGAACTCTTCCGAAGACTTCCGGACTCCTGATTTCTACTCTATTCCTATTTCACTATCTTGATACTACTAAACTAAACTTGATAGAATATGAGAGAGCTCTTGCTTGAGGTGTGTGTTGAAGTGAAGAGAGTGAGGGGTTTATATAGCCTCCCAATGACAGTTGTGACGGTTGGAATGGTCGGAAATACCTTCCAACCGTCATTGGGGGCTAATCTACACCGTCCAGCCGCAACCCTGCATCCAACGGCACCAGGGAGGGTTCGGCCGAACCCCCTGGTTGAGCCGAACCAGGGGCCGGCCCAACCAGCCCAGGTTTTGGCTGGTGGCCTTCTCCGTTGCTTCACTTCTTAGACTTGTGAATTTTGGCCCAATTCATCGTGTTAATTCTGAGTTCTTGGCCCATTCATACATAAGTCTGATTCTCGACATTGTCCGATTGACTTATCGTCTGATTTGACATCGATTCTCCTCCACTTTATGGTTATTCTTTACAAAAGGTTAGTGAACCTAATACTAGTGGAATATTATTATTCTAACATGTATATGCATTACAAGCATAACTAGTTCTCCTCTATTTTGGTAATATTGATGGTCGAAACTGGTCGCTAACGACCGTCAACAACCCACAAAATAACCACACATATACACATATCACACACATGCACATTCTTGATCAGATAGTATGACTTGCTATCTCCTTGGGTCCGGTCTTTTGGCTTTGCAAAATATGTGATGCAGGTATGCCCCGATTGATCCCTACAGAGCTCCACATATACAGCCTTTTAGAATAGGGACAATTCGGCATAATATGCCTTGGTGAGGATCCACAAATCAAACCACATGAGTGATTTGAGAGAAAGCCCTTTGAGGAGTATATCTGCTTTGTGAAAATATATGAAAACCCAAGAGATTGACGAGAGGAACAAGAAGGACTTGAGTCACATCCGTTCCATTCATCAATTGCCCAAGATGGTAAGTTAGACAGTGCAAAAATTCATAGGTACAGGTATGGCTTAAAATAATTTGTGTACTTATATTGTACATATTTTCGGAAATTTTATTCCACATTAATCCTTAACCTTTTCTTGGGACGAGTAAAGAGCTAAGTGTGGGGATTTGTTGACGGCTGTTAAGTACCAAATTAATGCCGTCAATACCTGCATAAAACCATAAATGTAAAACATCCAACATAGTGGTAGGGTTTATTTCTAACAATTTCCACGAGTGTTGGTATATATTTGTATGCAGGTGACAAGTTACTAAAGTTGAGAGAAAATATACATGAAGGATGAGAATATAACTTTCATATCCAAGCTAATGGAGTCTTGAGCCCATAAACCCAATAAGATGCAATCATTTGAGCCAATCTTCAGAAGAATATACAATGGGGCCCACATATCAGTCTCTAGGAGGAAGGGCTGGGCTAGCAGAGCCGGCCAGGGTTCGGCCAAACCACCAGCTAGTCCATCCAGGCCCATTTTTCACCTGGCAGTTGCAATCCTCATCCATTGGCGGTTGTGACCGTTTCTACCGGTGGAAACCGTCATAGAGAGGACACTTGTCAACACAAGAGAGAAAATGCTCTTAGGATGCTTAGCATCTCCACATTCCCAAGGCATCTCTCCACCTATAAATACGGCCCTCTCCTCTCCCTCATTCACACACACCAAAGCTTGAGCTAAATTATAAGAGGCTCTATTGTACTTTATTATATATTAGATTAGGGAGAGAGAGTAGAAGAAGTCGGAGGAGTTCCGGAGTTATCAATAATCCTCTTCTTATTTCTTTCTGCTCTGTTAATTACTCTGATTATAATAGAAATATCTTTTGAGTAATTTAGTTTTGCTTGGTGAGAATTACCTCTTAGTTATTTCCTAATCAGCGTGCTAGATCATCGTTCACTATAATACAGTAAAATAGTGATTGCTTTAGTGAGTTCTAAACACTAGAATAGCTATTAATTGCTTAGACATGGTGTCTAGGTAGTTGATTTCCAGTGTTTGCTCTGTATCCCACAGTAGGTGTGCAGTGGGTGTAGAGGTGGTGACAGCCCTCAAGATCACTAAAGTCCTTCCTGTCCGGGTACGTAGTAGAGCGATATCTGGGAGTAGCGAGCTGGCCAGTACCCGAAGTATCGCGTTAGGATTAAAGTTAAGCTTTCCATAGACATTGTTTCTCACCGGTGAATCCTCTCTATCCTTTGCCTATCTTTAGCTTCGTGTCCTTGGATGAACCTGACTAGGAGTTAACACACACGTTCCCTATGGAAATCGATACCTGAGAATACTCCTGGGGTGAAGTACTACATCGGTATTTTCCGTGCGCTTATGGATTCTATCTGTCAGGTTAAGAAATACCAACAATGGAGCAACCCACAATTCAAAACCTTTTTGCTCCTCGGGCTGATCTTTGTGAGCCATCCTGTTCTTCAAAACCAATCCTTTCGGATGGCTACGAAATTAGTCCTGACTTTATAGCCATGATTCAAGAGCAAACCTTCTCTGGTAGTATTGGTGAAAACCTATACCTCCATCTTCGTGATTTTG